GGGTCCGGGGTGGATTCGAACCCGCCACCTAAGGTGTATGTGGCTGGCGCCTTAGCCACTTGAGCCACAGACGCTGAGCCTAGAAAGAATTCTTAACATGTAAATATCTTACTACTTTCTAGACTTGAAGCAGAAATAAAAGAGGCACAGTTGAAAGCAAAGGAAGAAATGATGCAAGGAATCCAAATTGCGAAAGAAATGGCTCAACAAGAGCTTTCTTCTCAAAAAGCTGCATTTGAGAGCAAGATAAAAGCACTGGAAGCAGAACTGGTAAAAGGCAGACGGGGCTTTTTTTCCTTCCTCGCAGTATACCCCAAGTGATGAATTGGCTGCACAATTGCTCATGTCCCTGTAGGGAACTGTGGGAATATCGGAGATTAGAAAGTCAAAGCCACAGTGAATCTTGGCCCTGTTTAATTTTACTTTAGCTGGTCGTTAGCCGGTCTGAAGGTTGTGGGTTATTGTTATTGATACAAAAAAAAAAAAAGTAGTAAGTTGTTAAAAGTAGACAATGGCTACTGGAAGAAGAAAAATAAACTTCTGTTGCCCAGCCATTTGAGTTGTGACTCTCTGCGTGGTCTGCTGGCTATCTTGTATTACCAGAACCATTTGGGAGAAGAATGCTCTAAAAAGTTTAATTAGTAGTATTTATCTTTAGTTAGATTAGTTAACCTGAATAAAGTAGAGAAGCTATCGGGGAGCTTACCTATTAGTAAGTTATTTCTTATACATTGATTAAAGAAAGGGACTTGTACTATTTTATAAGAAAGCTCTGATTTTTTTCTGAGATATTTTTTATTCTTTAAAGAAAGAAGAGTCTCAAAGGAAGAAAATACAGGAAATAAATAATGAAAAGGCTAATCACAAAATTGAGGAATTAGAAAAGGCAAAGCAGCATCTTGAACAGGAAATATATGTCAACAAAAAGCGATTACAAATGGAGACTTTGGCTACAAAGCAGGTAACTTCATTTTATAGCTATTTTTCTGTATTATGAGGAAAAGCTGACTTTTTTTTTTTTAAGAGGTTATGGTATTTTGGGGGCAGGGGGAGACAAGAGTCTCACTTTGTCACCCTGGATAGAGTGCTGTGGTGTCAATAGCTCACAGCAACCTCAAACTCTTGGGCTCAAGTGATTCTTTTACCTCAGCCTCCCAAGTAGCTAGGACTACAGGTGCCTGCCACGACATCCAGCTATTTTTAGAGACGAGGTCTCACTTTGGCTTAGGCTGGTCTTGAACTCTTAAGCTCAAACAGTCCATTTGCCTTGGCCTCCCAGAATTATAGGATTACAGGTGTGAGCCACCATGCCTGGCCAAAGGTTACGGTATCTTGACAAAAGAAAGCTATATGCAGGTCTGTAGGTGAGAATGATTCTTCTTAGCTAAAAGCTTATGTCCTGGTAGTACCCACATATATCATCATATAGAGATTTTTTTTGTTTGTTTAAATAGAGACATCTTTTATTTATTTATTTATTTTTTCTGTTTTTGGCTGGGGCTGGGTTTGAACCCCCCCACCTTCAGCATATGGGACCGGTGCCCTACCCTTTTGAACCACAGGCGCTGCCCATCATAGAGAGATTTTGAGAGAAGCTCGTATTTCCAGCTAGTTTCACTCTTGTTTTCTCTTGTTATGTGTGGGCTAAAGTGGGAATACTTAAGGTAAGAGTCATATTTTGATGTGCTTGCATTGCTAGTAATAAAGATTTAATAAGCTTAAAACCAGTATTCAGGTATTAGTTTTAAGTAGGCTAGTAATTGAATTAAGAAAATGATTGCAGAGAATGGGCAAAGGAAAAGTGAAACAGGAGAGAAGTGGATTCAGAGAATCCTGAACCCAGTGCAAAACACGCTGCTGGAGGCCTGACGCTTTTATTTATTTATTTATTTATTTTTTAGAGATAGAATCTTACTTTGTCGCCCTCGGTAGAGTACTGTGGCATCACAGCTTACAGCAACCTCTAGTTCTTGGGCTTAGATGATTCTCTTGCCTCAGCCTCCCAAGTAGCTGGGACTACAGGCGCCTGCCACAACGCCTGGCTACTTTTTTGTTGTTGCAGTTTGGCCAGGGCTGGGTTTAAACCTGCCACCCTCAGTATATGGGGCTGGCGCCCTACTCACTGAGCCACAGGCACTGCCCAAGCCTGAAGCTTTTAAAGCTCAAGAAGTGTCTTGCTGAAATTTCACCCCAGTATGACTCCGAGACTTAGAGGTCTCTAAGCTGGTGAGACTCGCAAGGACAGGCAGGGCTACTCTCTCTAAGAGAGGGAGTGCTTTTATAAGGGGAGAGTATGCAGAATGTGTAAATTTTGTTAAAAATGGCAAGATTTGCTCCGGACCAGATAAGGAGATAAAATCTCTTTTCTTTTATTTTTTTGAGACAGAGTTTCACTTTGTTATCCTTGGTAGAGTGCTGTGGCATAGCTCAAAGCAGCCTCAAACTCCTGGTCTTAAGCTATTCTCTTACCTCAGCTTCCCAATAACTGGGACTACAGGTTCCAGCCACAGTGCCCGGCTATTTTTAGAGACGATGTCTTGCTGGCTCGGGCTAGTATCAAACCTGTGAGCTCAGGCAGTCCACCCACCCAGTCCTCCCACATGCTGGGATTACAGGCATGAGCTGCTGCACCCGGCCCCCAAATATCCCTTTTCTTCTGTCACCTTGGTATGACCAGAAATGTCTATCTGAGCAAAAAACTTCTTGAGTATTAATTGTCACTCCTGTGATTTGTGTCGTAGCCTAATTGGGGGGTCTTCTCTGACGTCTTGCTCTTGGACTGTTTTGATGGTTCCATGTTCTGTTTGTGTTAAAGATATAAATACCTTAGAGAAATAAAAGTAAAAAGTAAATCCATCCAATTAACATAGTTAATGAAATAGTTTAGTTAGAAAAGTGCAAGCGCAGCACTTACAATAATTGTTTGCCTTTCCCGTATGAGATTTATGATTAAAATAATGGTATATGAGATAAAAATGGAGTTAGCCTGGAGCAAGACACTGCATATGTGTTCAGCCTCACAAAGAGCACGTGGCCTCCTGGCCCAGATACTTTTTTTTGAGACAGAGCCTCAAGCTGTCGCCCTGGGTAGAGTGCTGTGGCATCACAGCTCACAGCAACCTCTAACTCCGGGGCTCAAGCAGTTCATTCTGCCTCTGCCTCCCAAGTAGCTGGGACTACAGGCACCCGCAACAACACCCGGCTATTTTTTGGTTGCAGCCGTCATTGTTGTTTGGCAGGTCCGGGCTGGATTTGAACCCGCCAGCTCAGGTGTATGTGGCTGGTGCCTTAGCCGGTTGAGTCACAGGTGCCGAGCCGGCCCAGATACTTCTTAAACTTTCTCTTTGTGACTTGTTTTTTCATTTTTCTTTATCTTTTTGCTTCCGCCAAGCCACTGGAAGGGAATCCATAGCATAGTTGGGGCTGGTACCACCAGTTTTGCATCTACAACTATCTGATCATTAGTCATGTGAAATAATGTAAATAAGTGAAATAGTTTTATGGCATGATATTTAGAAAGAAGAAGAAAGGTACAGCTTTTATAATAGGCCACATCCTGATGTCAGAATAAAGGGAATATCTGCCCATGGAAAGAGCAGCAACAGGCTATCTTCTAAGAGAACTCACAGGTAGGGCACTCCTTACTTCAGCCTTATGAACTCCTTACTTTGTCTCCTTTTGAGGACACAGGCATCTTTCAGGGCTTGATTCACATTAGCCAATTTGATAATACTGAAGGATAAAACCAGAATGTTACCATGTTAATACCTTCAGCCACCTTACTGTGAGCATTTTTGGCCATTCTTTCTCTTGATTAGTGGTTCTCAAAGTGTGTTCTCTAGACCAGTAGCAACTGCATCATCTGGAAACTAGTTAGAAATGCAAATAATTAGCTGAGTGCAGTGGCTCATGCCTATAATCCCAGCATTCTAGAAGGCCAAGGTGGGTGGGCTAGAGCTTAGGAGTTGAGACCAGAATGAGCAAAAGTGAGACTCCATGTCTCCTTAAAAAAAAGAAAAAGAAAAACTACGAGTCAGGCATTGTGGCAGGTGCCTGTAGTCCTAGCTCCTTGGGAGGCTGAGACAAGAGGATTGCCTGAGTCCAAGAGTTTGAGATTAATTGGGAGCTGTGATGCCAGGATACTCAGGGCAACAAAGTGAGACTCTGTCTCAAAAAAAACAAAAAACAAAAACACCCTCCAAAAAACAAATTCTTATGCCAATTCTAGATCTGCTGAATCAGAAACTCTGGGCCTAAAATCTATTTCAAGAAGCTATTCAGGATATCTCGATGAATACTAAAATTCAAAAGTCACTGTTTTGATTCCTTGTATCTTAATGTTAAGGTTTTACTCAAACAGCAATTTTATTTCTTTTTTTCTCCAAGTTTATGGGTTTGGGGAGATCAGAGAATGGGCCTGGAGGCAGAAGCAAATGCTGCTAGTAATTCCAAAGTACTGGTACTATGATATAGTGAAAGATACAAAGTATAATCCCAGAGTACTGGTACTCTGATATGTGAAAGGCACCAAGTGTAATCCCAGTACTGGTACTGTGATACAGTAAAAGGCACAAAGTATAATCCCAGAGTACTGGTATACTATGATTCAGTGAAAGGCACAAAGTATAATCCTAGATTACTGGTATTCTGATGCAGTGAAAGGCACAAAATATAATCCCAGAGTACTGGTATTATGATACAATGAAAGGCACAAAGTATAATCCTAGCATACTGGTACTCTGATACAGTGAAAGGCACAAAGTATAATCCCAGTACTGGTACTAGGATAAAGTGAAAGGCACAAAGT